GCATATGACTTGTGCATGTGTAGCAGAATTCAAGCAAATTCAGAATAAGCATACGGAGAATTACCAAGAAAAGTCCTTGAGTACTTGAGAAGCACTAAAAGGAAATTTTTTTCTAGCTATTGTGTTAAATAGTAATTTAAGCAAGTTGTCAAAAGGTTACACAAATGCAAGTTTTTCAAACAGGAAAGATGATTCTAGATGGTGATCTAAATGCATACTTGTGTCTGGATGGAAAAGGACAGTGAGCTTGAAGAGTTCAAAGCAGAGCACTGTTGCATACTCAATGTCAGAATATGTGTATTAAACTATAGTTGGATAGTTACAGAGGAAGTTTGGATTAAAATGTCATGTGACTAACAAGTCACCTTTGCCCAAGAACAAAGGAGCCAGAGTCACATCACAAATCCAAACAAAAGGATATAAGATATCACCTCAATTATGAGATCGTTGACCAGCGGAAGGTCGTGTCCTGCAAAGTTTTATTATGAGTGAGAAATCACTAAACCCCTTCCATGGACTAAGGTATGAGAGTCATATTAAAGTCTTAGGATTGAAGCAAGTTATGTAATTTAAGTTGTATATGTTTTGAGAAAGCATATTACATGAGAAATGCATCAATTTGCAGAATTATGTTTAAAATAGAAATTATTATTTCTCTTATTTAATTATGGTTTTGGAAATTAAATAAAATGTCCAAAATAATTATGAATTGATGGGCTCATCAGGTTGATGACCTGGTGAATTGAAACCCCACAGGTGAACAAAATTCATATATTATTTACAGTTCCTAGTTCGAGATCATTAAAGTGGACATAAATGATTTCATTAAATGAACTAGCATGTAAGATTGATTGGATAGCGCAGTTTCATGGGCTATAGGGGCATAATGATGCTCGGTCACTCACTTAGATATGCATGAATGATGCATGATCGAACTATTGACCTACTTTGAAGTTCAAGTATAGAGCTTCCGTATATATTAGTGGATTCCTTTGACATGAGTGGAACATTGATTTCATTCAATGGATGTTGTGACTGTGGTACACTCAAACGTCTAGCCGTAACTGGAGATTATAAAGGGTGTTTCCCGGTTATTTCAGAAGTTGAGTGGGAGTCATGTTACCACAAGATTGGATTGAGTCTACCTATTAAATTAGGAAATGTGTCATGGCCGCTTGAAGAGGGAGAATTCAGAAAATACGTGGCCGCGTTCAAATGCATTACACAGTAATCATTTGGTTTTGTAATTCTAACTCAGATTTCTAGAAACGATTTGTAGATTAATATGATCTCGACATGTGATGCAATCATATTATCAAATCGACACATATATTGACTTAAGGAATTTGAATATTGCACCCTTGTCTCAGACAAGTGGGAGATTGAAGGAGTTATGTTTTCGTCGTGTGCAATTACTAGATATATAAATGGATCAAATTATGGAGATAATTAAGTTCGTACATTTGGGTCGTCGTTTTGCCATAGGTAGAGGTACTAACGATCTTTGGACTAGTAAAATAGCCCAAAGCTCAATTGGACGGATCCTATAAGGTCACACAAAGGGGCTAGATCGAGCATTAGATTGAAGGAGTTATGTCTTCGTCGTGTGCAATTACTAGATATATAAATGGATCAAATTATGGAGATAATTAAGTTCGTACATTTGGGTCGTCGTTTTGCCATAGCTAGAGGTACTAACGATCTTAGGACTAGTAAAATAGCCCAAAACCCAATTGGACGGATCCGATAAGATCACACAAAGGGGCTAGATCGAGCATTAGAGGACGAGGCCCATCATGGGCCTCATCACTCTAGGTGGCCGGCCATATGGAGTGGACAAGGAAGTTTTGGGCTTCGTGCCCTAGTCTAATTATAATGAGATTATAAATAGACTAGGTGCCTAGGTTTGCAGCAAGGAAGCAATTAACTGATCAGTGTGATCAAACCCTAATTAGCAAACACGAAACCCAACCCTCTCAAAGTCCTCTCTCTCTCACGGCTCTCTCCTCCTCCTAGGCGCCGGTGGTGTGTCGTGGTGGTGGTGGTTCGTGCGGTGGTCGGTTGTCCGTAAAGGTGGTGATCACGGTTTTCCTCAATCACTCAACCAATCTAGTATTGGTGGACGGCTCATTCGAATCTCGTGGACTAAGTAAAGGAGAAACGCTTGGGGCTCTATTCTCTCCTTGATTTGTCTGTCGAATAGGTTCGTGGAATTCACGCGTCAAAGGTATGATTATGTGTCTTGTGTGTTATGCATGTGATTCTTGGGATTGGTACTTGATTGAATATGATTCATGTTTTTCCGCTGCGTAGTACCTATAAACTCCTACAAATACAAGCAAAGAGCTTTTGCAATTGGAGCACAAAGACTCGTCTTCTTCCTTTAAAGGTCACCTTTCTCTCTCTACCTTTATTTTACCCATTTTTTGTATTAACTTTTTCGTAAAATTATTGGGGTGAAGCAGAATCAGCGTTGCTCTTTTGTGGGAAGAGCAACAAATCGGCAGCAGAAAACCCAACCCAAGGGAAGCCCTTCCCTACACCACTTCCCAAAACCCAAGGTTTTTTTTTTAAGTACTCAGTTAATTTTTATTATTATACGATGATATTCATGTATGATTGAACACCTAATACATTCTTATTTAGAAATTTGTATGAAATTAAAATTTTGGAAATTTTGAACATTGGGTAATTTGGGTTATACTGAAGTTGTAGAAGGGTTATGAATTTGTCATTTGTGGGTTTTTTTTATGTTGATTGTTGGAGGTTATGCAAAGTAAGGGGAGACTTTCTGTGTATCATGTTTGGGATCTTTGAAGTTGAATTGTGAAGAGTATTAAGTAATGTTAATTGCCAAACACACCTATGGAATTGGTATTTACACTTTGGATGAAGAGGTGTTGTTGCTGTTGTTTTTGTTGATGTTATTGTTGTCTCCTCATTTCGGTTTTATGCATAATTATGCTGCTGAGATTGGATGCTAGAGCGTGCTGAAATTTAGCTTGAAATTGGTATTCACTCTTTGGATGAAGAGGTGGTGTTGCTGTTGTTTTTGTTGATTCTGTTGCTGTCTCCCGTATTTCGGTTTTATGCATGGTTATGCTGCTGAGATCGGATGCTAGAGCGTGCTGGAATTTAGCTTGGAATTGGTATTCACTCTTTGAATGAAGAGTTGTTGTTGCTGTTGTTTTTGTTGATGCTGCTGTTGTCTCCCCATTTCGGTTTTATGCATAATTATGCTGCTGAGATCGGATGCTAGAGCGTGCTGGAATGTAGCTGCTTGTGGCATTTTGCTGGTATGAGTGTGTGTGTATATGACCATAGAAAGATATGAGGTTGGAATAGAAGTAATATGATGTTTGGGCTCAAATGAGACAAAAGCTTTCGTTTTTAACTTTTAACTGTATGACTGATGTATCAAAGCCAGGTAAATTGTAAACGGTTTGCTTTAGCTTCGTCGTTGTGCTCTCCATTGGTGACTATGGATTAGGAATTTAGGATTGTACTTTAATGATGATATAATACTGATACTTCACAAGTTTAGCTTGTCCTCCTAATAACATGAAGAATTCTATAGAGCTTGTAACATCAAAATTACTTACAATTTCTAAACTGATTTGCAGTGCTTGGTAAGGTAAAGGATTTCCTAGGATTAATTTCTGAAGCTAACAAAACTCTCCAGCTTAATGCAAAGGTAAGAACCAACAAACCTTAGTAAAAGGCGATTCTTGAGATCTTCAATTTGCACCTCCTAACTCCTACAAATGAGTACATTTATATGCAGGACAAACCTGAGGAGTTTGATATTGAAGTTTTGCATGGTAATGAATCAGAGTACATTGAAATGGTATTGCTAAATTTTCTCTCATCTATTATTCAATATTTGGTGAGATTAAGAGGAATACGTCAGAACTTACTCAATAGCTTAAAAATGTAGGAGTTGATGTTGGGTGTTGCTGATCTTCAAACTCCAGAGGCCATGGAAGCCGCAGAGGCTGCAATGGCTGGAAACCAACCAGTTGTTGATTTATGTACCAATGACAGCTCTTCAGAATCAGAAAGTAGCAGTGATGATGAGGAGGATGATAGCGATGAAGATGAAACTTTGAAGGTTGGTTCTTCTAAAGAACATTCAGATATGCTGGTAGACGGTTCTCCAAGACAGCAGTCAGAAAGTCGTACAAAGAGAAAACAGCCTAAGATTGTTGTGCTCCCATAAATCTGCTATTTCCTTTGAAGATGAGTAGCAAATTGGAGATTCTGCTGGTGAAGATTGTTTCAAATTGAAAAGAAATTGAAGATTGTTTCAGATTGCTACTTCCTTTATACATAGATAGCTATTGTTTATTGTTATGCCCACATTATAGTTGGATGTTTGGAAATATGTAAACTTCCAATGAACAATTTTGCTTTTATCATATGCAAAGCATGTACCTCTTGTTTTTGCTCTTGTTTCTTCATTGTTAGCTCTGCTTTCCTAATTTCTACGTTATTAATTTAGGTAGATTACCACTTAAGGCCATTCTTTACAAGCAAATTTTCTCTCATACATTATGCAGACTTTCAGCCTGAAATACAGATAGTTGTACGGAGTATTATACAAAACCTATACTTAAATTCTCATCAACAAAATAATTGTGACGGAGTAGCATCCAAAACTCTAACACCCTTACTCCCTTAGTAAACACAACTCCTCCTTATAGGGATGGCTATTCGGCAAAAACAAACACAAGCAAGCTGCACTGCACCCATATATAACAAGAAAGGATGTCTTTTGGAGATAATTTGGAAAGGTGAGATAGTTTGTTAATTGTTATACATAAGATAGGGCTCAGTCATTGCACGGCATGGCCAAACAAAACATGGTTTGGGTCATGGACCAGATTTGAGCCACGGTCTTTCATTAATAAAGCACGACATGACACAACACGATTAATAATGACACTAAAATAATTGAAATTTGACTTAAATACGATAAAACACATTAAAATAAGTATAACTCGGCTTTATTGCCATCAAAATAAGTAAAACCTTAACCGCAAATAAAATGTCACATCACTAGAGGTTTAAGTCATGCCCAAACACGACCCACAACCCACGACCATCTTTATACCGTCATACATTCATTGAAACTGTATTGCCCAAAAACACTTACAGAGTGCTACGAGCAGCTTCTTGAAGCCCTGAAGAGTTGAAGGAAAGTCGAAGAAATCGCTAGAATCTTCCGAATTCAACCGAGTAGCCGATTATTGCTGCCATGGCGGGTGAAGAGAGAGAAAGCAAAATGGGGGAACCCATGGAATGTGTTGCATCCCCCACCAATTCCCAGCAAACTGGTATAATTTTATTTTTTTTACTCGCTTCTACTTTTCTTTGTTTCCTTTGATTTATGCAATTTCAATTTCTATGAATATTTATGAATTTGTAATAGAAATTTTTGTTTGGATTTTGGTAGTTTTAAATTTCATTGTGGTTTACTTGGTAGTAATGAAACTTGTATACATTTTATTATAATACCCTAATTTAGTTAGTGGCCTTCAAATTCTTTGAATTTTAGATACCAAATGATGATGTTAGGTAAAATTTCAATTTAAAAGTTGAAAATTTGATCTCAATTTAGCCCTTTATGTAACTATTATTAATTTGAACTATGCTTAATAGATTGTGGTGGGATATGTAGCAATTGATGGTGTCGATAAAATGGGTATGTAAATTATCTAACTATGATTAATTGCTGCCGGAATTTCAGTTTCTGATGATGATGAAATAGATTACTCCATCAAACCCGAGTTTTATGATTCTGATCTTGATGACAAGGATGAGTCATGGGTGGCTAGAAAAAGGAAAGGTCCACGAACAGACGCTGTGCTCAGCTGTCCTGCTTGTTTCACCACTCTTTGCTTGGAGTGTCAAAGGTAGGTTGTTAAATACCTGAATCATGGTTTTTTGTTCCGGCGTGTTTTGGTGGGAAAACAACTATATGATGAAATCTTGATTGTTATAAGTAATGTGCAAGATTATTACAGCTTAGGATTTCGATGTGAAAAAACCTCTAGATCAATGCTGTCAGTCAATTCCAGTTACTCGATAATATAGCATTGTAAGTAAGATGCAGAGATTAATATGATGTGCCTGAAAGAAAAGAAGGATAATGATTCTCAAAATTGTAAGCATCTTTTTTTTTTTCCCTGGCTTGCTTCATTCCTCGATGGGCTTATACAAATGCTTGCAATGAAGGATATCTTCCATCCAAAGCTTTATACATGAAATAGTTGGAGGGTATCAAATATATCATCTCGACATCTTTACTAATCTTTTATGTATCAATATCAATCCCTCGTTAAATTGATGTTAGTCGTATGAAACATCCTACATTTCATGATCATCTTGAAGCTGTAGATTTTACAATTTAGGTAACACTATACTCCGTATATTTATATTAGAAGTTTGTGAAACCAAGCTACTCTAATCAATTGAGATTTATGCTGACTATTACGTATGATACAAACACATACAAAAGCTTGATGTTTGTCAAGAAGCAAGAAATCATCTCGAATTTCCACATAAGTCGGAAGATAGAGAAAGTAAGTGTGTGGTGAATTCATTTCAGCTTATATTTATTAAAAAAAAAAAAAAATAATAAACGGAACTTGTTCTCATATAAAGTATATTAGTAGAGAAATTTTCTAGCTGTTCTATACTTCTAAAGAAGTGTTTTGCCATATTTTATTGTAATCAATCTTTTTATTTTACCCTTTAAGAACAGGAAGAGTATACGTATGCAATGTATTCATCTTATGTTACATTAAAACATTCTGTTTCCATAGTGAAAATATTCTCTAGTTGTTTTTTTGATGCTATCCTATTTACTTTTCTATGCTGAGGGAATACATATTTGTACTGTTTATTGTGCTCCCCAGTATTTGCGTCATCCTTTTTTAACTGATTAGTGAAATGGTCTTGATACGGCTATATATAATCATACATGATTAAGGCATGACTAATGTCTAATGTAATGGTTGTAAGTAATTTTTAGCGCACTTCTTTGTTTACCAGACATAAAAGTTAAAACATTCCCAGGTAGACATTCCTTCAACATGTTTCGCATACAGTAATGCGTTGATAGGTGAAAACTCAGAGCTCCTATTGGTTATGAAAATACAAGTTATTTTGAGGATGCACTAATGGTTGTTAGGAGTGGCATTAAGGACACAAAAATAGGATTTATTTGCCTAGAAAATACAGTGATGGAAGGTCATGGAATACCATTTTTATTTTTAGAAATGGCATAATGTGTTTAGGCATAGCCATGATTTTATCTTATTGTCTTTCATTATAATTTATTATAAGAGATAAATCATTCGTCAGGACTTCCACCTTTAGCTTAACTTTAAGCTTTTTGACTGAGTTGGTTCTCTTGTATAGTAATTAGGCCAGAGGATCTTTGCACAACTCTGGCAAGAGCTGATTGCTAGCAATAATAGAGTGGAATTTCTCATTGCAAAGAGCATTTGCATGAGTTGACAAAATTATTGATTACTATCCTTTGGTGTAATCTGATGAATACATTAATTTTGTATGCAAGTGTATTCATTAGCAACTAGGATGTCATGTTTGGTATATGATCTCTTCTTTGCATGAATTCTGCCTAGATGTTCTTGTATTTCATTGAGAAAAGTTGTTTTGGTTTTCCTTGCAGGCATGATATCTACCTGACCCAGTACAGGGCTATGTTTGTAACTAACTGTGTAATTACTGCCAAAATGGTGTTTCCACAAGGAAGCAAGAAACGGCGAAAGTATAGGAAGGCTAGAGAGCCTATGGAAACTGAAGAAGCAAGTTCGACTAGTGTTGAAGCAGTTAGGCAAGCTTGCTGCTCAGTTTGTTCTACAGAGGTTGGAGTTATTGACAAGGATGAAGTTTATCATTTCTACGACGTTCTTCCAAGCGAGTCTTGAGTCCTACCATTACATTTCCTCATTTTATATCATGGAAAGATCCAGTTCTTAACTGCCTGTAACTCCTTGTGCTTAATCTGCTGAATTACTTTTTCTGCTTGTTTTAGAACAAATTGCTCTCTAGTTAGATGACTAGTTAATATAGCAATACCAGTTTTCATCTTCCGGGTGATTTTGTATATATTCTTCTTTCTCATGTCCTAGAACAGGCGAATTGCTTCTAAAAAAATCCGCCTGTTCCAAAGACCCATCGTTACTACGACGTAAGATTTTGCTGCTAATCGGTTCCATATTATACATTCCTCTCAAGTAGCATGCACTCCATTTCTTGTTTAATTTCCCTCTTTTGGCATATGTGGTGTTATAGAAAAGTAGTCACGAGGTCAGGGAAAATATGAAAGTGAGAAATATAAGCATATAAGCTACTTGTACTAAATTGAATAGTAATTACAACTTAGGCAGCGAGCTGGTTTAAATCAATATGCTCGAATGCTCGATTCTTATATTGTTTTCTGAGTTAATTGCCTACAGATTACAGGCTTCGGTATAAAAGATGAAGCAATGAACCCTAAACCTTATTCAACAATTGTCTACTGATAAATTAGTAGACAACGTAGAAAATACTTTGCACGCATATGTATTATGGACAAATAGCCTCAAGCTTCACAGTTCCTTAGTTTAGTATTGCAGGCCAAATAATTGGAAGTTAAAAGGTAAGGGTCGCAAAAGGTGAATCCCAAAGAAATATTAGCATTAGATCTAACTCATCTAAGGTATGCTCATTATCATTGCAAAAATCTTCGGTATATCAAATACTTCCTCCGTTCTTTTATTATTGCACCACTTGCCTTTTTAGGAAGTTTCACAAATATTACATCATTTCCTTTTTAGGAAAAAAATTATTTGTGTTCACACTATAAATACTCAACATACCCTTACTTTTTACACTTACTTTTTAGTTTATCAATATGTCACATGTGCAATTTTGTATTTTTACCTTTCTCTCTCTTACTTTTTTCCACTACCAAAATATTTGCACCCAACCCCTATGGTGCAATAATAAAAAAACGGAGGAAGTAGTACTTATCGAAAGATACGTCTAATGCCACGCGGTATAGCAACTATCAACTTATCGAGTATCAGCTTTTCTCCATCAAAGTGTAGGTAGTATACAATAAAGTTTATAGACTTATACAATCATTGAATCAATGTGGATAATTGAAACATATTATGTAAAGGTACCAAGTTGAAGTCAAATAGGAGGATTTTTTACTTATTTAGTTGCGCAAAGAGCAGTCAAATCGTTTGAAAGTTTAATCAGATTTAGTCAGGTTGGGTCATTTCTCATTTCAAGTTTGAGTCATAACTAGTGTGTCGATACAAATAAAATTTTGGTTGGAGTCATTTCAGTTAATTAAATCGATCTCCGGCTGAATCAGTTTTTATTGTAACAACTCTACACATACTACGTACATGATGTTAAACTTAAAACCGTTGCAGCCTGGGCTCAAGCTCAATGCTATAAGGCCCACAAGTCCATTACACAGCGCATTGTTCTTTCCTGCGTCAGAACCTTTTGCCCCACTTTCTCTCTCTTTCTTCAGACATTCTCATCCTCTTCACCTTGTTTTCTGCAAAGTGCAAACCACTTCCAATTCCAGATTAAAACTTGAAGGTAAACCTCTTTTTAAAGTTTTAAAGGCCTAAATTGAAAACTTTAAGGAATTTTGCATCATTCTTTTTGTAGTTCTATGTTGTAGACCATAATTCTTATCAAATGATCAATGAAAATTACAACTTTACTAACTAGCTGTTCAATTTTTGGTAGTTTTTGCAGTTTCAATTTCACAAGAATTACTTATATTTGGGGAATTATTGAAATCTATGGAGTCAAAGGCGCCACCTTGTCATCCTACTTATGATTTGAAGGCTGTCATCAAACTTGCTCTTGCTGAAGATTCTGCTGATAAAGGTCCCTTTTTTTATCGCCAATTTCCCACCTTTGTTATTTATTGTTTAATTTATTTAAATTCTGCTATAATGGGTCTTCATGAATTTAGAATAGCCCTTGAATTTAAGGGGTGACAGTTTATGGGTTGTTTATTGAATTTTGGGAAAGGGTGTTTAAAATGAAGAAAAAAGATCATGAACAATGGTTTTGTGTGGCACATTGAGATTATTTAGGACATACAATTATAAAGTTGGTATTACATACAAGAGTTTGGGTTGTTATAATGTTATTAGTCCATTTTTGTATAATGGTTGTCAATTGAGAATGGTTTGCTAAGAGGGTGGTCTATGGGTGTTTTTTTATCAAGGGCATCTTCATCTAGGAAAGATACTTCGAATTTAATTGCATCGTGTATTCGTGTTGATGATGAGGTCTATAAATAAGTTTGTGTCGCCGGTCTAATTGCAAGACATGGAATTTAGTACAGGTTGGAATTGACTTGAATTTAGATGGTACAATTGTATAGTTGTTGGAAATGAGATGTACATGTCTTGACATTTTAATATGCTACTTTCTAGATGGTTGGTTGGTTGGTGATGATGTCCTGAATTTTTATAATCAGAAATTTTTTCTTTTTCGTTCACTCTGCTGAGCGTAGTCTAATTGATAGGAAGAGTTCATATTGTACTTTAGGGCCTTGTCATTGAGTTGAATATATTTGTCATCCTACTCCATATTACAAGAATTTAGAGGGTATCAACTGAATGAGTTTAGAAATGGTCAAGAGATCAAGTAGTACCTTTAGATGAACTATCTGTAACAAGTGGTGTCAAGCTTATGATCACTCCATAACTTGTGAATCATAGAAGTTTGAGCATTGTCCTGATCTGACGGTTGTTCTTTATAGGGGATGTGACATCTATGGCCACAATACCGGCTCAAATGGAAGTGGAAGCCCAATTTTTGGCAAAAGAGGATGGAATTATTGCAGGTATTGCCCTTGCAGAAATGATATTCCATGAGGTGGATCCTTCCCTAAAGGTTCGATTGCACCATTACATTTTATTGACATAGTGTTGCTTGTTCTGCTTTTTTTTAGTCCTCTAAACAGTACATTATCTATCAGGTGGAATGGTGCCAGAAGGATGGGGATCATGTTCATAAAGGGCTGAGATTGGGGAAAGTGTATGGTAATGCACTGGTGACATTGAGCATATCATTGAAAGAATATCCGAAATTTCTTTCCCATAATCAAGTCTATGTTTTTGTGCAGGAAGAGCACATAGTATCGTAGTTGCTGAAAGAGTGGTTCTGAATTTTATGCAAAGGATGAGTGGGATTGCAACCCTGACCAAGGTATATGTTAATGTAGTGATATAGGGAGCACAACTGCATACTGACCTTACAGAATGCTTATTATTACCTTGATGCTCTTCTCAAGTGCATTTGACTTACAATTACCAAATATTTTAAATGAGTTCAATCCTGTTCACTTGCATTATAGATTTAAACATGCCAGTCGTTCATTTTGGTCGGTTATTAATAGATATTTCTGATTAGCTCCTGGCTCCAGTATATAGTGAATTTTTTTTTTTTTTTTGGAACATGTACAGTAAACACCCTGAAATAATTCACATGTTATTGTCATATATTTTATCAAGCCTTTAAACCAGAATTTTGTGATTAATTGTTGGACCAGATGTGTTAGTGAACTCACTAGTCTAGTTAATAGCTTTGTTGGTTGAATAGATTGTATTGATGTATTCACTTGCTTCAAGGAAACAGAACTAAGAGAGCATGACTACTAAGAAGAGGAAAAGGACCTATAAGCTGTGGGGTGAAATCTACAAATAAAAAATTGTAATTGAGAGATGTAAATAGTTGTTCGGCATGCTTGTGCTACAAGATTGATTTTGTTTAACAGATCGTGGTGTCTAAAGTATGCTACCCACTGATATCACTAGGCTTGCATTATGTGCTAAACTTTAATGGGTGCTTTGTGGAATTTGGAATAGTTGTAGGATTTGAGTATTTGTTTTGTTTCAGCTCATGTGTGACAAAATAGCTAAAAGTTTTATTTGTCTTCAGGCAATGGCTGATGCTGCAAGTCCTGCTGTTATTCTGGAAACTAGAAAGACAGCTCCAGGTTTACGCTTGGTGGATAAGTGGGCGGTGTGTATCTTTCTCCTGCTAATCAAATTTTGTTGATGTTCCAAGTAATGTTGTTGACCTTGGTGTTCTTCTGCTGTTAGGTTCTAATTGGTGGAGGGAAGAATCACAGGCTTGGTTTGTTTGACATGGTGTTGATAAAAGATAATCACGTCTCAATAGCAGGAGGTATCACAAAAGCCCTGAAGTCCACAGACCATTATTTACTGCAGAATAATATCCAGATGGAGGTTGAGGTAGTAATTTGTTCTCCCTTTTTCCAGCTAGCTTGACTTTGGCTATGCTAAAACAGATGTGTACATAATTTATAGTAGGTGAGGCAAGTGCTCTGGAGGAATGTTGTAATTAAGGCAGTTGTGTCCAATATTTGTAGCACTCTGATCCTGCTATGTTTGAAACAGGTAGAGACCAGAACCCTGGAGGAAGTTAAGGAGGTGTTAGAGTATGCATCCCAGAATAAGACTTCCTTGACGCGGATCATGTTGGATAACATGGTTATCCCACAATCTAATGGAGATGTTGATGTTTCCATGCTTAGAGAAGCTGTCAGAATGATTGATGGTAGATTTGAAACTGAGGTAGCTCCTAATCTACAGCTATGTATTGCCACTTGGGAATTGAAATGTGAATATATTTTCTCTTATGCAAGAAAAGTTAGCATTGATGTGACATTCTATCTGCATTTTAACCTGTACATTTGATTAATGTATAAGTAAATATGGAAACAAGTAAAATATACCAGGATTACAAATGCTACTGCTAACAATCCTCCTCACCTCTTTTTTCACCCCCAATCAAATAAAAAGAAACCATTCATGATAAATTCTTTAAGAATTGTTAGTTAAAGGGAAAAGGAAGCTGTATCAGCAGAATCAATCTTCAGACATGCTATAATAAAATTATAAAAATACAGCCTTCAGGTGCCTATTAGAATGAACAAAGAAGGATGGCTTGAATGATATGTGAATACCATATCTGATGTTGTGTATTAGCAACTCTAGTTACCTTTGACTTGCAAAGTAGATTACGTGCTTTCGTTGAATGTTTCTAAAGCTGTTACCTTTGATCTTATTTCTATTGTTTCTGTATGTTGTGGACCAGAAATAAATGTTCAATTTTACGAAATGTTGGTTGATTCTTGACATGTTGGCAGATTTTTACCAGTCTGGGACCAGATACATTATGTAACTCGTGAGGTCCTTTTTTTCTTTTGATTAGTAATTAGTAATATTATTTTTCTTATTCATATCATAACAGGCATCTGGAAATGTTACACTTGACACAGTACACCAAATTGGACAGACGGGTGTGACCTATATTTCTAGGTAAGAGCAAAACCTTCTGGTTTTTATTATTGACGGCATGTATCATCTGGGGTTTTGATATTTTTGTGTTTAAGACTTGCGGTCCTGTAATTTAATTCGTTGAGCATGGTATGGTAGAAAAAGGATTTGAAAATGAGGCAACCAATTACCCTTTCGTGTTATTGAAGGATGCTGATAACTTAGCTTCTTTCATGGAGTGTTGTGGATGCTCTTCCACCCCTTGTTTCAAATTAATTACGTATGAATTTGGTTGGAAACGCAAAGATAATATGAGTTTGATCTGTTTAGCTTGCTGCATTCCTTGATTCATGCAAATTGGTCATGCATTAACTGACCCTATAGGTACTTTAAACAGATTGAAACTTGTGAGCTCCTAAGAAGTGTTTTTTTTTTTTTTTTTAATATATCCTAAGAAGTTTACCTTATCAAATTATAAAGTGACCTATTATAATGAGATGTCTAAATTATGAAATAGGCCTAGTGGCTTACAACTGTAGTTTTACTCGCCACATTCATGGTTTTAACCTTCTTATTTTCGTGTTGTCAGCTTTGCTCCTGTTTACTACAACTCTATACAAGTAATCAATGCATACTCTTTTTCTAAATTAACCATTCATATTATAAGAATATTCTCTTGATTCTGCAGTGGTGCTTTGACACATTCAGTGAGAGCACTAGACATCTCCCTTAAAATTGACACAGAGCTCGCACTTGAAGTTGGGAGGCGTACAAACCGCGCATGATCTGTAGCCTTGGGAATTGGTATGTGGTGAAATTTACCTCCACCCTATTTTTACGAAACAACTTTCAGTTCCTGCTAATAAATGTCATGAACGCTGACCAAAGAGCAAAGTGCCCTTTGTTTACTTGATACCCTTGATTATACAGTTATACTGCACTAATAACATGTAGTTCAGTCCTTGTATCCGTACATAATAACATTGCTGATGCTCATCGTAAGATGCTGTCTTCACTATGCTTCCCCATTCTCCCTTTCACAGTACGACTGTTTTACCTAGACTCCACCATTTGCAGCCTCATACTAGTTCATAGTGTGTACGACTATACACACTTTGGCGGAGCTTGATGGTGCTTAATACTCCGTATACCGCCCCTCTCATGTCTCTCTCTACAAAAATTCTGTTATTTGGCATTCTTGTATCTTGTTGGTTTGATTCTGTACGGAATGACTATTGAGCAGTTTTGATTTTACATAATAAACTAATATAGTGATTTTAATTTCCTTCTTTCTAGAATTTATTCTTCCATTTTTCGTAAGATTGTGCATCAAATTTCTGCTACTATATTGCTACAAAATGGAATGATACATTATAAGCTATTTAATCCATTGTGAGCTTCAACAAGATTCAAACCCATTCTAATAGAAATTTGTGAGAGTGAGGGATAGCTCAAGTGGTTAGAGCTCCCCTCCCGGTCCCAGGTGATCCTAGGATCGATTCTCATCACCCGCTTTTGTGGCTCTCTAAACACCAAAAAAATAGAAATTTGTTGTAGGGTTCTTTAAATAATTTTCTAACAAGCATAGACCAACATATAATTATTACATAGTAGTGTTATTTTATAACAACAAAAGCAAACTCTAAAAAAAATATCACAAGCAAACACACTCGTGTGTCAACCCTAGGAGAAGTAAAAAGGGCTTTGGGTCCTATAAAAAGGACCCATTTGGACTCCCTTATATAATATGACCAAGTTCAACTTTGGGTCATAGTTGGGGGCCCATATTATACAAACCAAACGACAAAAAATCTCTTAAGAAATTTTTTTAAAAAAATATTTAGAAAAAAAAAACTAGGAAGCAAGACATTTGGATAATCTTCAAAAAAAAAGGTGTTAATTAATTATGCAACATGCATGACCACCCAAAATAATACAAATAATAATTAGATTGTAATCAAATTGTTTAATGTGATTGCTTGGATGTATTAATCCATACTTTTGATTATTAAAATTAAAACAATTATAAGCCAAAGGAGTACGTCAAATCCTCTAGCATCATTTTCAATCATAGTTGTAATTAATTATTATGATTGCCATATCTATAGTGGTTAGTGAAAGTAATCATATATTTATTGTTTTTTGAGAGAAAGAAAATTAGTCCTATTATAATAATCCAAATATTTGGGGGACAAAGAATGCACCAAAAAATGCCCTATTTGATATAATTAGGGCTGTCAAATTTCAAACCGAAACCGTTTAACTGCCCGAATCCAACCAACCCAAATGAGAACTGAACCGATTAAAAACCGTTTCTTTGAAACCGAAAACCGACCCGAACCGCATTTTAGTAAATTGAAACCGAACCAATCCGAGTAATGTTAAACCGTTTAAGAACCGAACATGTTAACAAATCGAACCAAATATAAACCGAACTGAAAGAAAACCGAACCGAAAAAGAACCGAACCGTATCTAACCCAAAATCGATTCCAACCCGAAACCGTTTGAACTGGCATAAAAACCGCTTACACCGAACTGTTAGCAAACTGCTACTCGTTTGCACCGAACCATTTAAAAACCGAACTGATTGTAAACCGAACTGCTTATGAACCGAACCGTTTATGAACCGAACTGCTTATAAACCGAACCGTTTATGAACCAAACCGCTTATAAATCGAACCGTTTACAAGTTTTTTTGTATGTAATAATAATTTTTTTTTTGGTGCACTTTTTTATGTAATTATATGGATTAAGTATTAGAAATCTTAGAATATATTTAGCATATATTCCATACTTATCAATTTTTCTTGAGACCATATACTTATCATATTAATTGTATATATCTTAGTAACTTAGTTAATACTAAATTCCCTTAGAAATAGCACTTCGTTAGCTAATCCGTAAGTATTGACTTTAATTTGGTTTTTGGGGAATAATCTGCAATTTTGGTTTTTTGGGCAATAACCTACAATTTTTTGGCCTTTTGGGCCTTATTCATCAACATAGCAGTATTCCAGTAGCATAATAGGATTAATAGCATTAACAAGTTATAAAACTTCTAATTCAACAAGTTTCAACTTAACAAAACCAAAACAAACTAATCCAATCCATACACATAATTAAACAATTTTTAACAACAAAGTAACAAAATCAAACCAACCAATCCATACAAACAAGTTTTAACAACAGAATTGTACAAGTTTTTAGCATAACAAGATTAACACCAGCACCACAATCTGCAGCAGAATGGCAGATCAGCAGCACTGCAGACTGCAGCAGCAGAATGGCAGAACTGCAGCGATGGAAGAAGAGCAGCAGAACAGCAAAATGGAAGAAGAGCAGTAGCAGAATGGAAGAACAACAACAGAACAACAAGTAAGCAGCACAGCAAGTCAGCAGAATAGCAGTAAGGAGAAGAAGCAGTCAGCAGTAGCAGCACCCTATACTTATCATTAGTGTAAGAAATGAAGCTACACTTTTCTCACAAAAAAAAAAACAAGAAAGCTTGAATTAAGCAACACAATATAAATTAAGCATCAGTAAAATAGCAACATCCATACCTTTCTAATTAGATGCAAAACTTTCATCTATCACCTCTTTACCAATTTCAAGGACGTCTTCTTCAATATCACAATCATAACCACGTAACCAATTTTGTGTGGTAACCAACGCCTCAACATTCTTAGGCAAAAGTGCACTCCTATACTTGTTTAAAATACGACCACCCATGCTAAAAGAAGACACAGAGGCTACCGATGTAATAGGAATGGCCAAAACATCCCTAGCCATAATAGCTAATATGGGGTACACATTAATTTGAGATTCCCAATACTTGAGAACATCATAATTCTGCCCTTCAGTTGATGGTTGACGAGGAGTATTCAAATAATTATCAATCTCCATCGATGGTCGATTTAGGCTATCATCAACATCAACATCCTAGAAAAGTGCAAAAAATATGCTTTTATTAAATAATAAAAATTAAGACATATAATTATTATTTTAGTAAACCACAATAAACAGAAAATGATTACCTTGAATATATCATCATCATCCAAGAGACTATTTGATTTATCAACCCCAATAGGGATGGAGGGGGGAACAATTGTACTTGACTTAAAACCGGAACACATAGAAGAATAAAAGTTATACAACTCCAAAAGAGCATCTTTAATCACCTTCGCCTTTTCAACACATGCCTCCTCAACATAAAGCACTTTCAACATATTCGTCAATCGAAAAAGCTTATAGCGAGGATCAAGAACAATAGCTATTGAAAGGATCAAACTATAGTCATCCCAATAGCCCTCAAACTTTTCAAGCATAACTTTTGCCATGGGTGCAAGTTTAGGGTCTATATGGGCTTTAGTTATTGTGTGCTCAATTTTCAAAACACTAGCAAAATACAAATTTGCGGTAGGATATTCAGAACCAGAAAATAACATAGTGATTTCATAAAATGGCTTTAGGAAATGACATATTTTTTCAAGGGTATCCCATTCATCATCCGAAAGTTTGAATTCATAACCCATATACTTATCGATAACCACTTTCAAGGCTTCCTTTGCTTCTAAAGCTTTTCGGAGCATCGTATAGGTGGCATTCCAACGAGTCACAACATCAAGACGTAACTTACCGTTAAATAGACAGTTAACCTCAGAAAGAGTATGCTCAAATTGAGTAAGTCTAGAGTCCGAAGAATCAATATATTTACAAAGCTCGCGCAATTTTTGAACACTACTATCAACTTCTTTCAAACCTCTTTGAACAATAATGTTCAAGACATGAGCTGAACATCGAATATGAAAAAATTTACCATTACAAGGAAGAGGAAAAGTCAACATTAAATCTTTCTTCAAAAGTTTAACCATAACATCCATAGATCGAGCATTATCAACAGTAATTGCAAAAGCTTTACCTTGAAGGTTCCACTCCCCAATAAGTTTAAACACAAATTTTTCTATCTCAACACCAGTATGAGGAGGACCACAATATCTAAAATTCAGAATTTTAGACCTTAGACACCAATTTTTATCAACATAATGTGCAGTTAAAGTGAGATAACCTCGATTAGTGCATGCTGTCCACAAGTCACAAGTGAAGCTAACTCTACCTTCAATTCCAGAAAAGATTGCAACAACAAGGACTTAAACTTATCATGCTCAGCAATACAATATTTCAACATAGTGTTTCTACACACATGCTTCACATTAGGATTCAGATTCGTAAAAACTTCCCTAAGGCCATGATGCTCCACAATATTTAAAGGATAGGAATGCAAAATTATAGCTCTAGCAAGCAATTGTAAATGACGAGTTTGATTAAACGTAGGATCAACAACACTTTCAAGATTTGCAGGATGATGTATATTTTTACCCATGCATGCCTTAGTATGAGCTTTACAAGTGGAAGTACCAGCCTTACCTGGTGCTTTATATTCATTACCGCAAACATTGCATCGCGCATATCTTATCGGAGCAAGACCAACAATCTTATCAAAAAAGGTGTAATGCCTCCACACATCTGATGTTCGTCCACGCTTACTACCACTAGTGGTAGTGACTTGTTGCTGAGAAGAATCTTGATTCTGAATAGTGTTTTGAGAATCTGAAGTTTCTAAATAATCTTGTCTGTCCTCATCATAATTTTCATACCCTTGATCCATTGCTGAAAAAACAGGATCAAAACAACACATTTCAGCCTTATAACAATTAATTGTCCCTATCAATGCTAACACATTTAGGTACTTTTTACACTCTAGTTAAGAGTCGAAAACCCATTACATTGAGATGTACACTTAATAGTGAAACCAACAAATAGAATAGAGAGTGAAAAGTCATTAATCCCATATTATTTTTCTATAAACGCTAATAAACTCAAATAATCAAATTTCAGTAGCAACCCATTAATTTTTAACTACTAGAAAATTAAATAAGATGAACCCATATTATATACTATTACCACTAAATTACAATTATACAGTTATATACTCATTAAGGGGAATTATAACTATAATAATGCAAAACGTAGTGGACAACTATGTTATATAGTGTGGTAGCTTAGAAAACCTAAATTTTAATGTCAAATTTGATTATTGGTCTTTCACTCTTTCCTATTCAATTCTTTAATCTTGATTCATTTTGATTGATATGCAAACAATAATGCAAAGCAGTCAAGAAATACAACCGTCAAATACTAACTAACTTAAGATAGACCACTAATCAGAGTTATACAGTAAACCACTAAATTACAATTATACAATTATATACTCATTAAATCAACTA